TACCTGGCGAATCATTTTTTGTTTTACGTTTTTTTTATAGTTCAAAAGTATTGAGATACTTGCTTATCTCTGACAACGTTTTAATTTCAAATTATGAATGTATCGAGTTACAAGAATTTTCGTTGTTTGCAAGTATAATACAGGGTGAGCCGAAAGTTCCCATCTATTTTTTTTTTTTTTTTTTTTAATAAAATATCAAAATGTGAGGAGAAACTAATTTTATTAATTTTAAATTAAATTTCAAGCTCAAACATGATTTTCTCATTGCGTTTTAAAAATTATCTCTTTCAAACGTCGACCGCCACCATATAATAAAAGAAATTATGGATTTACTTCAGTAGGAAGTGATTTAATTAATTTTTTCAATGTGTAATAATAAGACTGGTGTTTGCAATTGTGATATTTTGTTTTTTTAAACGTTCTGAATTGTAAGATTACTAGTAACTTAGTCTTCAAAATTGTTGCTCTATTTATTAACACTGTTTATTAATTCAAAATAACCTTTCGTTTCCATCGAAACGTAATAAGCCTCGTATTTGATCAATGGTTCACTCGAATAAATAACTCTCGAATATAATTGACACTTGAACAGCTTGTCAAATAATAACTTGAATGGCTTAATCAAATTCACGTATCGTTACTATAAACTATTATACAGATGCTTTTTCTGAACGATAAAATATATATATATAATGTATAATATAATATTATATAATATAGAATATTATATATATAATATATTTAATATAGATATAATATAATATAAATATATATATATATATAATATATAATATAATGTAGATAATATAGAATATTATATATATATAATATATTTAATATAGATATAATATAATATAAATATATATAATATATAATATAATATAAATATAAATAATATATAATATAATATAAATATAAATAATATATAATATAATATAAATATATATAATATATAATATAATATAAATATAAATAATATATAATATAATATATATATATATATATATATATATAATAGCTGTATGTATGTATGAAACTTTGACTCGATAATTACACGAGTTTGTAATGTTTCAGCGAAACATTAAAATACCGATGGCATAAAACTCTCATCTTCTCTTTCGCTTTCGAGAATCGGCGAAACGATCGCTCATCATTCATGGAGATCTCTCTTTGAAATTATTTTCTAACACGAGCTGAATGTTGGTGATTTTTCATGCAGTCGATCCCTAACGACGGAGGGAACGATAAATCCTAAATCTGGGATCATCAATTGCGCGCCCTCTTTCATTTTTGTATAATAATTCTGCCGAGTATGTTCCTCGGACGCGACGTTTACGCGTCAAAATATCGGCTCGAAATGAATGAACAGTTCTTCTAACTTGCTGCAGAGCGACGTAAATCCTCTGCGTCGGAGAAATAGATGAAAGCGAGGATCACGTAGAACGGGCAAAGACAACTTATCCAAAAAAAAATTGATATTTACGAGCCCTTTATTTCCGTCGTTCTCCCTCGCTCACAAGATCGGACACCTTTCTTTTAGAAAAGCTGGCAAGAGGCTAAGCACAGAATTTTGATCTTGGAAGACGATCTTGTCTCGTCCCTCGAATTGCTATTTTTTTTTTTTTTTTACTTGTCATTTTATCTCTGTGTTAAGCCTTCAACGCCCAAGCTTTCGTATCTGAGAGAAATGTGAAATTGATGCACGCATATTGCATTTTTGTTATTTCGAGACCGGCGATACCAATTTTAAAACTATCGACCTATAACTTGTCCTTTCGCAACGTTTCACTGGTTTCGCACCGAATACTTTCCATGAACGAAATTTGAAACAAGCACTGCCACGTTATTGCACGCTTGATTTCGTTGATATGTAATGATATAGTTAATGTATAATTTAATTAATTGCTGAGACATCGTGGCAAAATGTTTTTGCTCCGTTTCCCGACGAATCGGCGAATGAAAAAAGACGAGTTTCTCGAAAATTAAAATGCCCGTGCCACGATCAAATGTAGAGACATTTTTAAAACGAGCTCTGCATCACTGAGAATCAAAGAATAATTACCTGGTCTACCAAACTTAATCCAAACCTACCTCGACTGGGGCAAAGTTGTCTTGACTTGATTTAATTTCGCGACCGTAAAGATCTCCGATAAGAGAGAGATTAACGAGTTAATCGAATAGAACGGAAACGAAATGGTAAACAGGAAGAGTTAACAGACGGATTAAAAAGGTAATTCCAAGAAAGCTCTCTAATGGTCGTGCAATGTAATTAACACCAGATTAAACGAAACCAGTTTCAGTCGAAAACTTGCTGGTTATCTTAGAGAGAGTGTCGGCTCAACACAATCACAAACGCCGCGAACGCAATTTAATTTCACATAAAACGCGTGGCCGCCGTCAACGATTCGCTTTTGTTGGTCCTGATTTTATTTCTACCTTTTCCTTTTTTAATTAAGTAATAAGTCAGAATGCAGGCAGGAGGCAGCATTGCCGCGACCGCGAATGAAACGTTTCCCCTTGCATATGCATGCGTTAGCACTACGTCCAGAAAATCAATGCACCCGCAAGCAGCGCGAGACGTTTTTTCCAACAGGACAGTCGGGGAAAAAATACCAGCCGTCTTAAAAAAAAAAAAAGAAAAGAAAAGAAAGAAACGAGGGAGAACCAGCAGGATATCAAGCTTTATCGTCAATCTGACCTCAACGTCAAAGATTGGGAAGATCGAATGACCTTAGCGCTCCAGATCGTTGGCTACGTGAAAAGATAAAGGATACGATTCAATTGGCTCTCTGATTTTTATGGGTGATTGGAAAAATATAGTTCAACACGATACAGTCGAAAGGAGAAACGTTTGATTTAAATTTGTTTCGAGCATTGTTCCGAGTCTTTCGATTTAAAAAAGAATTTATGAGAAAGGTAGCGAGTGCGGCAGTCAATATTTTCGGAATTATTATTTTTCGAGAGAGTTGAAGTCAATATTTCTGGTGCAAATACTTTTCAGGGAGGGTTCCTCAAGAGGAAGAAGACAGATTTGCTGATTGATCGACAAAGCAATTGGACTTTCAAATGCTTTCGCGAAAGCGAGAAAGTGCAACACATTTCTTTTCTCTGTGAGAGACGTTAAACAACTAAGCACTCGACGTTATCACAATTGCGCCGACCCGAAAACAACTGGAGAAGAACTAAAACCTACAGAATCGGATTTCTCAAGAAGCATTATAACATTATTCTCAAAGGCGTCAAATCAGACAATGTCAAATGTTAAAGAAGTTATCGCAATGTTGCAGTTGAGCTCGTTCGAGATTGAAATCGAAATTGAAATCGAAGTCGAGTGTTTAAAGAGAAAGCACGAGGCGCGAGGAAAGTTGAATTCCAACGTCGAATCTCTTGCGCGTAAAACAGGCACGCGCGGTGAAAATAATTTACGAGATAGAAAACGAGAGAGGAACGAAATCGTTGAGATTTGCTCGTTAACGTATGTTAATAAGAGGAAAGTGAACTTCTAGAAACGTTGCCGACAGACGACTATTCATAGAGATGTGTGTGCGCGTATGTGTGTGTGTGTGTGTGTGTGTGTACCTACGTAGAAGAGGCTTTACCCTGACACCCTTCATCTCGCGATATTTTTATGTGTCTTCGAGATGGGATAGAACGGCTTGACAGACAACGCGTTCAAGCAGAAGTAAAGAGCCTGTAAACCCAACGTCATCTTGGTCCGTCTGTGGTATCGATTTTCCGTGAATACGATTCTCGAAAGTATTCCCGGTGTATCTACAGCTTTGCCGTGAAATATCGGGAAAATATAAGGAGAAAATAGAAGTAGCGGCGCGTAGGTACGTGCGCGCCACGGGGTGTGCCATTTTCAGTCAGAGAACCCGTGCAACATTTTCAGACAGGCGAGAGACTTTCTATCCCGACGTGCACGAAGAAGAAGATGTAAGAGCAAGAAGGGAATAGAGAATGGATGTGCTCGTCCAACGGAATCGTGTCAAAAAGAATACTGTTTAATTATACAGACTATTCCGTTCTGTATTATACAGACCACGTTCTGTCATTGTCCGTGACTTTACGTTGTGTGACCGATCTGATCGAAAATGTATTGATATTTCGTACAAAAAAGGAGACGCAAGTTAATATATTGACAATCTTAAATATACGTGTAATATTTTAAATATTATAATTTATAATTATACTATTTGATAATAATTACCAATCTGATCGAAAATGTATTGATATTTCGTACAAAAAAGGAGACGCAAGTTAATATATTGACAATCTTAAATATACGTGTAATATTTTAAATATTATAATTTATAATTATACTATTTGATAATAATTGCCGATCTGATCGAAAATGTATTGATATTTCGTACAAAAAAGGAGACGCAAGTTAATATATTGATAATCTTAAATATACGTGTAATATTTTAAATATTACAATTTATAATTATACTATTTGATAATTATTAATATTTATTATATTGTATTTAATTAAATGTTATAAGTATTATAATTATAATTTAAATACACTCTAAAATGTACGTAGGATTTGTAGAATCTTTTATTTTTACACAATGTAGGTCATTTAAAGCTTTATCAAAAGACTAAAAATACAAAATAGAAAAGTAACACAGTTGAGATCACTGTGTGACAACCTAACCCAATTTGTTACCCTGTGAAACTTATTTTAATTTCACTTTGTCTCGATGAGACTCGACAAACTCTTTGTACCATATATATTAACACATTCTTTTTAAGTTAAAAATTGAACAATGTGAAATTGAAGGTCAATGTACTGTCAAATATTATATAGTTTTTCTAATAAAGCGTTGAATGATCTATTTACTCGTGACACAGGTTTGACACTGTTAAATCGTAAGGCTGCTCTGCTTATGTATGTACATACACACATACGTTAAGATTGAAGAGACAATTTTGTAGACTCTTGCAAATTATAACGTACCGGAAGATCTAACGTACATAGGAAATCTCCTTGTCTGTTCACAGAACAACCTGACAGACGGGGAAGAAGATCTGCCTGAAGACACTTTCTCGCTGTTGTCGGTGCTTCTAGTTGGTTCGCTAAACTTCCCATTTGATCGATCGCGACTCGCCCCTCGAAGACAACCCTCTGGGAGGCCCTTCACTCGAAAACTTTGATCTAATCTCGCTATATGTATCCCTCTGTTCCCATCCTCTGTTTCATTCTACGTTCCATCTCTCTTTCATGATTCGTTTCTCTTCCTCTTGCCTCCTCGCCTTGTCTCTCATACTTTCTCTCACGTCAGTCACAATTTGCTTACACCTTTGCACAACGTCTTCTGACACAACGCATCATTCCTTCCCGTCCACGCGATACATTTATCTTACGGTTTAAGATACACCATTTTAACTTTTCTTTCTCATTCCCCACCGGATTACAGTTAGATATATATATATATATAATATATTGTCCAACATCATCATACATCATCATACATCCGATGAATTCTCAACTCAGCTCTTCGAGGGATGAGCGATTTACTATTTTTTTTCTTTTCTTTTTTGAGCAAACACAATCGATTCTCCACTAGCCCAGTCTGTTCGACCGATTCTTTCAGGACTTCTCTTCCTGATCTTGATATTTTTATCCGTCGCGGGCAACATTTTAGTCTGCGTGGCAATTTACACGGACCGCGGTTTACGGAGGATAGGAAATTTATTCCTGGCCTCCCTCGCTATAGCCGACCTGTTCGTCGGTTGTCTGGTTATGACATTCGCCGGGGTGAACGATCTTCTTGGCTATTGGGTGTTTGGACCGCGATTCTGCGACACCTGGATCGCTTTTGACGTTATGTGCAGCACTGCCTCTATTCTGAATCTTTGCGCAATCTCTCTCGATCGTTACATTCACATAAAGGACCCGCTCAGGTAAATATTTCAATTCCTAATATTTCCGTTCGTCTTATAACTCATTCGAGCAAATGCTCTCTTTTTTTTTTTCGCGGTCAGATACGGCCGTTGGGTGACAAGGAGAGTCGCGGTTGCTGGAATCGCTATCGTATGGTTGCTCGCAGGACTCATATCCTTCGTGCCGATCAGCCTAGGCCTTCACCGAGCGGACGAGCCCCTAATTTACGACGATGGTGAAGAAGTATGTACGATAAATATCACTACGCAGATGTTTCCCGCCTACCAGAGTATATCTTTTATAAATTCGACTTCGACAAACGTCCATCTATAATAATACGACACGGCAAGGAGGCTAGTAAAACATAAAATACGCTGATGCTTAAAAGCTTTCCGGACTTGTATATTCTGTGTTTTTTTTCGCAAGATGTAATTTAATTGAAAAATTGTAGAAAAAGATCGATGCAATGATTGTGCAACGATGGTGCCGCACACTATCCACTGAACATGCTAATTTCTCAATTTTAATTTTAATCTTGGGAACATTATAATTTTTTTTTCTTGTTGTACACCGTGTAACAACAAATGTCTCTTTTATAACAATCTCTTCCTATTGATAAAAAAGACCTGCTGCATTTCTGACCATCTTAAACTATTCGACTTTTTGTTTCCAATCTTTTCTAGATTGTTTTGCCTATACTTGAGAGAAAATGAAAATCTATCGACGCCAAATTTTTGTCAGAGGAGAAAACCTTTCTGAATACTCGATTATTGGGAAACTAATAAAAATATCTTATTTCTATCTTCTGTACGTTCTAGAAGCGTTTATTATCGATTTATTATATATAGTACTATTATTTACTTATAGCAATATTATATTTATTCTAACATTGATAGCTTACTTGCATGAACGAAGAGGCAAAAAGAATTTATGCAGTGACCTACATAATATAGCTAATCGAAATCGAGCAGAAAGCCAATTTTCAATGGATATTGAAGCAGAAGGGACGTTCTAACAATTCGCTCTTTGCTCGTTCAAAATTTGATCTGTCCGGCGTGATACACGAATAGAAATGATCCTTCGTTCAAACAGACGCGTCTACTCTTCGTTTTTCGTTTTATCTTTTAGGAACATCCTATGTGCGCCTTAGACCTCACACTCACCTACGCGATAGTCTCCTCTTCTATATCTTTTTACGTGCCCTGCATCGTAATGCTGGGGATTTATTGCAGGTAAGCTTGAAATAATTTTAAGGAATACTGAGAGAATAATGAAGATCGAAGGAGAAAGACATGATAAGTACAGTTTCTCTTGATTTTCTCTACGAATAAAAACTGTTAGACCTCAAAGATGTAAGTTTTTTTTTTTTTTTAAATAACTGACAAATTGACAAGCCAAATTAAAGAGATAGATATACGAAGAGATATAATAACGTTGAATATTTTAAAATCAATCATACATTGGTATTTAGAAAAATGGTTGTAGCATCAAAGTGGGAATTTTCTAAACAACAGCAGGACAAATTTATGTTGCGTTATTGGCTGATGTTACGCTATCGGCGAGTAACATTTTTAAAATTTCGAAGAATACGAAGGAACGCGCGTTGAAATTCAGAAACAAGTGAAAAGGCAAACAGCTGTAAAGAACAGGAAATTTGACTTTTCGTGTTGTTCTCGTGTACATCTTCAAATGTAGACTAACGTCGCGTTATATTTTTTAAGACAGATTAAGGAAACAACGCTCGAAATCCTTTAGTTATCAATAATATACTCTTCAAAGAGTTTTCTCACTCATGATTGTCATTTGATGTTTCCAGGCTCTATTGCTACGCGCAGAAACACGTAAAAAGCATCCGCGCAGTAACGAAGCTGCCGGACACCTCAATGGCCAAGAGTTTTCGTGCGAAAAGCACACGCAACAAACCACCAAAGCCACAAACAAAAACGAAGCCGACAAGCCCTTATCACGTGTCCGATCACAAAGCCGCTATAACAGTGGGTGTAATTATGGGCGTTTTCTTAATATGCTGGGTACCCTTTTTCTGCGTAAATATCGTCGCTTCATATTGCAAGACCTGCATATCAGTCCGAGCGTTCCAAGTATGACCATTTCTCTTTACTTTTCTTACAAGATACGAGGATCGGCTGGGACGAAGAATGAACTTTCGTCTGTGCCTCCGAACGAAATAAAATACAGTTCTGCGTGAACACTCGCTTTATAGCTATGTCTTTTTTGTTACAAACATGCCAAGTGTCCATATCGTTTTGCTCGACACAGTCAGGGTAAATTTCTAGTTTAGCTAATTTCCGATTTTGGCTATCTCGCTACACACTCTTCTTCGTTTTGTTCTTTCAATCTTCTATACTGAGTAACATGAGCATTTCTTTTTATTTGCGCTTTATTAAAAACAACACAGAGAAAAAAATCACTAAATTAGAAATTTTCCAAGAACAGTATTTAAAGATTCAATATCAACGAATTTACGATATCAACGAGATTTAAGCAATGTGTTACGATTTGAGACCCGAATTTGGCTTTCTTGAATTGAAAAAGGACACTCAAGGCTTCCTCTGTCAAAAGTAAAAAGCCAAAATTCTTTGCTGACAGAACGAAAAAACTCGTCACGCGTTGGCAAAAGTTTATCGGGGATTAACGGACATTACGCGGAAAAACAAATATAAATTGTGCTAATGAATTGTACTTTCATTTTCCCCTTTATTCATTTCGATAACTGCTTTCGTTCTCGAGATACAGACGAAAGATTATTACTTTTCAGTCGATTCTTATACCATTTCCAAAGGAAACCAAGTATTCGAATAAATTTTTATATTTCCACACACACACAAAAAAAAAGAAAAAGGAATACTGCTTTCCTTTGCGATTTCTCATTAATCTACTAAAAATCAAAATTGCGTTAACGCAACATTACATTTGTAATAATTATCTTTTCAACCATTTACATTGTCGAATTCGACCCGATTCACATTGGAATGATGAAGAATAATGTACAATGGTCATTAAATTCTAACTTTTTGAACAATTGGTGGTAACAATTCGAGATAAAATAAATTCGTAGATGCATTTCTCAAAGAATTGTAGAAGTGCTTAGAATGGGACAAAGAGAGAATGAACGAAATTATGATTTTATAAAGATTTTCGAATTATAATGGCGCCAATCTAGACCAGTGCTTTCCAAGCGACAGCTCCCCCTGATAGGCGTTATACTGATTCAAAAGGATGATAAGTAATTTCAAGTGCAACGGGCAGGGGGGTGAGAAAATAAAGAAAGAGGAAGAGATAAAAGAATTTTAAAAAGTCGTTCGTGCATGTTTCATCTAATCAATGCAATTGGATGCTTTATTTTTTTAAATAAACACAGAAAATGCAAATTGTAACCGATCAGATAATCTTATAAGTTTAAGCTTCAACGTGTCTTATTTGCAACATCTTCCCTTGCTACGTTGAAGGACGTAGGTACAAATATAGATACATAAAATAACGCGAATTTGTCACTACATTTTTGTTTGTTCACTTAAAAAAGGAAGCCGATTTTCAAAGGGGTGCTAATTTTTTTTTATCTGAAAAGGGCGTAACAGGCCAAACTAGTTTGAGAACCTCTGATTTAAACCAAACGAATGGCAAAGGCGCGCATTACGAATAAACACGAATTTAGTCGAAAGGGGAAGATGGAGGGGGGAGGGGGAAGTGGCAGGGGGAAGGGGTGAACAAGCACTCAACCATTCGATTCGAATGCATTGTCAAGGCTCGAATTATGATTGATGTTATGATCATGAAAATGAAAAGAGGTGGTAAAAAGAAAAATAAATAAGAAAAGAATAAATATGAAATTTGTTATGCAACAGGTACTCACTTGGCTCGGCTACAGCAACTCGGCCTTCAATCCGATCATCTACAGCATCTTCAACACAGAATTCCGAGAGGCGTTCAAGAGAATTCTCACAAAAGGTGCGAGAGCCCGAGGGAACCAACCGTCGACTAGCGAATGCGGAGAATTTCGATCCGTGGTTGTACAGAAACGGAACGGGTCTATGGTCGAATGTAACATTAGCCCAAGATCAAGCGCGGACAGTTGTCAAGTCGGAATAATGGCGCAGAGGCATCGCGATACTATCGTTAGTGCGATATAATCAAACTCGAATCTCCCCCCTCAGATTTATCGATCTTCCTATCGAACGAAAATCGCGCTTCTGCGCGTCAAAGGTGCGCATTTCACCTTCTCGGACATTTCGCCGGTTTAACTGCAATTCGCGATTTTCCATCGCGGTCATTGATCCTGTACGAGTGATTTTACTAACACGTAACACACGTAAATGAAACCATGACAGAAATGATACGTTCTTCCTGTCGTCAGTCTTGCGCGTGGTATTCTACGTTCTTGGTACGAATTGTTTCGATTGAATCGAAGAGCGTTACACAAACATATCCATGTATAATTTTTCAGGTTCCCATACACGGTCATACGAATGGAACAAAATTTACGAACATTTAGAACAAAATTTACGAACATTTAGAACAAAATTTACGAACATTCACAAACACTTAGAACCGTTAACTCGCCGTTCCATCGTTCAGGAAACCGTTACAAAAATCTCCAAATACTTTTCGAGATATCGAATTCATTATCGAACTTCTCCTCGAGACAAGTATTCGATATATTTTTCGTATCGTCCAATAAGCGACCCGAGTTGAACCACCGTAATTTTACATGTAAAATATATTTCAAAATAATATAGGTTTTATCGCAGTGAGCAACAGTCATCACTGTTAACAGTACTACGTTTCCCTTTCTTTTCTTTCCCCTCTCACCCCGAATGACAAAAATTGCATATAAATTTTCTTGCTGGAATATTTTTTTATTCACGAACAGTGAAAGGGGAAGAGAACTTATCGATATATAAATGGACGATTAAGAAGGAATATTTACGTAAAGACAATCACCAAAAGGTAGTTCAAAACATATCCGTGAGACATAATCTGCTCTTACAATAAAAGGAATGAACACGAATTATTTAAAAAAAAAAAAAAATCGAACAGGAGGATATTCAATTTCAAAAGTAAGAGAAAAAGGGCAAGAAAAAGAAAAGAACGAGATGAGAATTAAAATTCATGCGTAGAAAAATTTGAAACTAGTGTTTAGATAACATAAAGCAATTGTAATTATAAAATCATATTAATAGTGCATCTACGATGTAAAGCTGGATGTTACATGAAGTACTAATAGTAACGTCTATCGAATCGTAGCTTATATTAGTACTAGGATCGCGGTGGAATCCGCACAGATTCATTTTCCATCTTGTAAATAGTCATTTATTTATTTTTCTATTTGACGGGACACCAACACGCGATCCACGTATTTTTGCATTGTAAGCGATATTTCGTTTAGGTGCTAACGTGTCGCCAAAACTGTTGCGCAACCCGTCGAATCTAACTCAAATCTGCGTCACTTATCTAAGCGAGAAAAATCCTTGCGAAATGCAACCGACGCTCATTGAGTCTCTTCCATCTATATCAGCGATTCACAATGTGTACTACATTCCGGCAAATGAAAAATTACACTTAGGATACCGTAATTAGATAAAAAAAAAAAAAAGAAAAAAATCAAAGAGATCCTGTGTTTTCTCTGTCGGAATGATATGTGCACGAAGTCGATGTATACTAATGATATATTTGAATGACCGTTCTCTGTAAATATATTAACGTAAGACTTCCACGCGAATATCAAATTTGCAATATTTTATTACATCCTTATCATCCTAAACCTATTTAATATTAATAACTTTTTATTCTTCTAAAAAATAATATATTCTCCGACAAAGCGTGTTTTGTTTCATTCGAAGCATTTGTTAAATGAATCGGTTTTGTATCTTCCCAGGTACGATTTCCTTCTGGAACTTGAAGAAAATCAAGAAGTTTAGAAGCCGAATTTGGTATAATAGGATACAATACTAAACCGGCTATTCGTAAACTTTCCAAAGCTAAAGATACCACAGCTTCAAGTTGCTTTACAGAATCAAGATCTTTTGATTTGCATAAATTCCACGGTTCATAATGTTGAAACATTTGATTAGACGTGCGTAACATATTCAACACAATATCTACTGCATGATAGAAATTATATTTCTCATAGCACATCTTAGCATTGTCACCTAATTCTTCCAAAGCTTTTATATTCTTAAGGGCTATCTCAGATTTTAAAATATTTTTATATTCAGCAAAGTTATATATTATTCTGTCTGGATTAATATTTCCACCAAAACAGCGATTAATTAAATTACCTATTACGTTGGCAAGTTCAGAATTTAATATATTTTGAATTTTCAATTCGTTATAATCTACAAAAAGGAAATAAAGTATTAGGTAATAAAAAAAGAACAATACTCGAAATATATTATGTATTCTTTGTCTTACTTGCATCTGTGTCCAGTACAGCTTGTCGTAAAAGAAAATACCTCAGACCATCTTGTGTATAAGTTCTCATCACGTTAAAAGGTGATGTTACATTTCCTTTGGATTTTGACATCTTTTTATCTTTAACAGCCCAATGTCCATGACATACAAGTTTCCTTGGCAGTTCCAGACCAGCAGCCATTAAAAATGCTGGCCAATATATACCATGAAACTTCAGTATATCTTTTCCTATAACCTAATTTGAAAATATTTTTTGATTTTTATTTAGAAATTTATGAGAAACTTATTTTATGAATGAGATAAAGACATTTACTTGTACAGTTGGTGGCCAAAATTTTTTAAATGAATCATCTGGATATCCTACTGAAGTTAAATAATTAACTAATGCATCCAACCATACATATACTGTATGAGATTTATCAGAAGGAGTCGGAATTGCCCAAGACACTCGTTTACTAGGTCTAGAAATACTTAAGTCTTGTAAATCGTCTAACCATTGAATCAATATATTGCGATATACTGCCGGTTCTATTACATTTTCTAAATATAATTTCAAATATTAAAATTGCCATGTCTTTCAGTTAAGTCAAATTCATTAAATCAAATTGGATATATACCATTTTTCAGCCAACTTTTTAATTCATCTTTAAAAGAAGAAAGTCGAAATTTATAACTTTCTTCATCCATCCATTCTACTAAATCTCCTGATTCCGTATATCCTTGATTGCTATCAACAATCTTTACTACGTCTTTATCTGGAACAAATGCTTCTTCTGATACATTATACCAGCCAGAATATTTTCCTCGATAAATATATCCGTTTTTTTCTAAACAATTCTGTAAAATTTTAACTTCATATATTCATTTGTTCAAAATTATTGATTAATAAGATTTTAAACTTTATAAATTTAACAACCCAAAAATGAGAAACTGCTTCCTGATGTTGTTTTTCAGTTGTTCTAATGAACTTTGAATAATGAACATGAAACACATCGCACATTTCTTGAAACTCATGTGAAACTTGAGTACAATATTGAAAAATGGATAAATTTGTATTATTTGCAGCTTTTTGAACTTTTGTGCCATGTTCATCTGTACCTGTACATAAAAACACAGAATGTCCTAGCATAGTATTAAACCTAGCTATGGCATCTGCTAAGATTGCTGTATAAAGATGTCCAATATGTGGTCCTAAAAAAAAATATCAATGTTTTAATATTAACTGTCATAATGTATATTTCTATGCATTTATAAAACAAATTCTTCTGTTTATAGTAACATACCAGCATTAACATAAAATATAGGTGTAGTAATATATATGCTTTTATTTACATGATCACTAAAATTCCTTTTTTTAGCATAAGTCCATGGTTGTATTCTTGTCATTAAGAATGGGAACGTCCATAAAGACTGAGTATGACAAGATCTTGACAAATGGACTGTAATTAAAATTGAAATTATTGTACAGCAGAAGTATTCAAAATAAAAAAACATTTGCCATTCAACTATAGTTGCAATTAAAGTTAATAAACAACTCAATGTAAATATTTTACTTTATCATTTTATTTTCAGACTACTATATACAAATTCAGTATATCTGCAGTATCAAATAAAATATAATTACAATCCATTTTATATTCATTATTCAATTATTACAATTCTAATTGTATTGATTCTAACTGTGCTATAAGATTCATATGTTTAAATTCATCAGGCTTATTAGTAAAGGTTTTCAATAGTTCTAATCTCTTGACACTGTCTGTACAATAATATAATTGTAATTCATTTACTAAACATTGTGCTTCCTGCACATTAATACATTTTTTATCAAATTCACCCCGCATAAGAACAATTCCTTTTTCATCTTTAAATTCAGTATAATGAACAAGAGTTAAACATTCTGGCGCATTTTCTTTATGTGTTTGATACCATAATAGCGGTGTCATATGGATCTCTAATCCACAAAATTGACTAACAATAAACTCATATCCTTCTTTTCTAGGTAACGGCAACAAAAACGTTGAATACTGTTTTCCACGTTCAAACATTTTATTAAATTGCTCTGGCATTAATATTCCACATATATAATCTTTATCTTTATGATAATCTTTCCAAATGCTTATGATTTCATCCTTTGTTTTATCTTGAATCATATCGAGTTTCATAATGGTATTTAATTGTGCTTGCTCAGGTTGTTTGTTTTGTTTCAAGTATGGTTTTGCTTGGCTTTCATAATATTTATACTCTTCTTCCTGTTTTTCTTCAATTTAATAATATGTATGTCAAAAAATCAAAATAACATAGCTTAATTATGACTAGCTATTAGAAGTAAAAGCAATTTGGTTTGACAATTTAAAATAACATGCTTACACCATTATTTTCTATATTTCTATATTTATTACATTTAAATAATAAAAAAACAAGTATATAATTGAAAAGACAATATATCAATAATAAAAATGCAATACTAAATATGCAATACTAAATAGGTTATGGTACCTCTCCTTCTTTGAATTTTCTCTTCTTCCTTTTCAACCCGCTGTAAGAACTCTTCTGGATTGGTCTGTTGGAATTTTGCTATTTTCTTAGCATACTTCTCGAAGAAAGGATTTTTTTCAAGATTTTCCAAAGCTTTTTCAAGCTTTGTGCAAGTTGTCATAATGTATCTCTTGTTGCAATTGTTCGTACCAACAAAGACGTTTCTCATAGACATTAACAACGGTAACCGTATCGCGTTCTGCGAAGGAATTGCCATCGGTCATTCAATATTTAATTTATTATCAATTTCAACAATATAAATGCAAAAAGGTTCGACACATTCGTTTCATCACGTGCAGCTTAGATGGCGCTAAGTGCTTTATAAAATTCATATTTTATGCTAAATGCTATTAAAATCGTAAACGAGAAAATACTTTTCAATCAAATACATTTTCAAGGTGAAATAAACGATAAATAAAAAGTGCAAAATTTATCTCGTATTAATTTCTAATAAGTAGCACAAGGTTCCGGTATGATCAGTAATGTAGCTATATACAAATGCATATCCTTAAAACAGTAATGGTACTTTTGACCTATATCGCTCTGAAATATATTACATGTATATATAACAAAAATTGTATATACATATCGTTTATGCATGCATCCTTTACCAAGTTCAAATTCTTAAATCAACATCGGCTGTTTCACAAAGGAATTACTTGAGAGAACGTAATTTCATGCTCTTAAAATTAGCAATAAGTACTACAAGAGTATAACAATATTAACTAGAAATAGTTCAAATCCTTTAAAATTATTCGATTTAACTCGTGTTATTTCTCATATAAAATTTTGAAATATAAAACAGACAAAAGGAAAAAACGTAAAGGTGAAATATGAAAACGTAAAATATTCTTGCTTATTATTTTTTTGTTTTCATTGAAGTCTCTCACATTCGACGAGAAAATTTTTCTTGTTAAACGCTAAATAGCTGTGAAGGGAAAAAACAAAATGCGCGACTCACAGTGAAAAAAATTCCAATTTTAACAACGCACTGATATAGACGTCACTGTGAAAGACACGGTGCTTGTTCGAGGAATCGCAGCGTAATTGGTACGGCCCTGAGGAGAATCTAGTACCGCGAATTCAAGCGAGTCATTTCGCGTAATTAAATTTCAAGACGGTAATAAACTCGCAGCTAAGTCAACACGAAATTTTTCTCGTAATTAATATAAAAAGTTCCCAGATGGTTTGATCGAAAAGATAGTGTGATTAATTGGCAACGATTTGTTGATAAGGACTCTGACTTGAACGCCGCCCGCCGTGACGCATCGTTTCCGCAACGTCAGTTGCTCTCGTGCTTCTAGCGAAAGGGAAAATGTCGGCGTATTAGTGGGGTTTTGTTGTGCCACTAGAGAGTGACTTTTGGCTACTGTTTCCCAAACGGATCTCATCGAAGAAAATCTCAAGATTGTTACGGCTTTGGAAAGAGTCAGCATCGTTCAGTTTGCCAGTAAATGGCGTATAAGTCCTATCGGGTACGCTTAGTACTTTAAATCAGGTTTGATTCCGACGTGAACCAGTCGCAGAGTCCGCCGTCGGTTCTAGCGGAGGAAGGACAGAAATAGGGAAGGCAAGAGCAATATGTCGATGCAGTTGGCGATGTCAGTGGCAAAGAATGAATTTATCGTGGGTGGCAAATACAGGCTGTTGAGAAAGATTGGCTCGGGATCCTTTGGCGACATTTACCTCGGTATCAACATCTCTAATGGTGAGGTAAGGAGTACCGTTTCACGTGAGACCGACCTGCCAGCACGTATCTTCCTCCTTTCCTCAGTTCGTTTCTTTTTATCCTTTCATCCCCTTAACAACGTAACAAGTTATTCACCCAGTCGCAATATTGTAACTAAAATTTCCCTTACGATGTCGTTATTAAGCTTCTTACGAAATATGTTTTTTTTTTTTAATGATATTGTTATTGGTTACGCGAAATATCCATTGTTTTCTCTTGGAGGAATTTGCAACTTGTGAATTTTCCATCTCGACGGAGTTACAGTTACTTGGTCAACCATACCAAGTTAGGCTATTTTTAAAAATTTCATTGGTACATTTGTTTAACTGCAAATGTTTGCCCAACTTTTTCCCAATGTGATTAACCTCTATATGTAAAAAAGAACAGTTAATATACATATTGTTTACATGTGTAGATCATAAGGCAATATGTTATTAGAATACATATGTCTGTAATATTTGTTATAAAATAACTATTACAATATAGTAAGTAGTTATTTAAGCATCATTTTTATACAGTCAAAATTCTTCTGTCGCTCAAATCATTCTCTATTTCTTTGCATTTGTATGAAAGTGTTTTAAATAAATTGCACCACAAGTTATTCTTCTTTTACATAAAGAGTTTTTATCATATCTTTTACTTATGAATATTGTATAATAATTTTATTTATAAAACTTATGTCATCTGATTATATCTTATTTGTAAAGTAGAATGTTGTAAAATGAATTGCTAAAATGAAACATTTTATTATTAATATAAGACATATTACATATATATGATATATATAACAACTATTTTTATATTAAATATAGATAGAGTGTATTTTATTTAAAGAATATTAAATGAAAATAATCATATACTATATAGTACTTATACAAATATTATGAATTAAATTGATAACATATGACATAAGAAAAACAAAATTAAACTTTAATAGTTTAGGAGTATATAAAAGAGTATATAAAACTTGTAAATCTATAGTATTATGTACAAATATTTCAATTTAGCTTAATCATAAGTTGTATTACATGTGTGATATGTCATTTTAGGAGGTTGCTGTTAAATTGGAAAGCGTACGTGCACGACATCCACAACTCCTGTATGAGTCAAAGTTATATAAAATTTTGCATGGTGGTATAGGAATACCTCATATACGTTGGTAACTATTATCTTTAATAGCTTTTCTTAATTGTAAGAAATACTTAACTCTTTGTGGATGGAATGATTCCAAGCCTAGCGCTTTGTAGAGTCATTTGAAATCACTTATATATCACTTTTTAAAGTGCAAGTCAAATTGCTATAGCGATATATAGTGTTTGAAATCACAGTTCATACTTACGTGTTTGCACACTATATCACATTTTTAAATTCCTAAGTGAATTTAAATTCAAATTTGAAACATGTGTATATGTGTGAAATTAATTCTGAAAAGTATAATGAGAAATTTATATTTGCTTTTATTCTTGGATTTCTTTTATCAAGATGATGTAATACAAGTTTCAGATTATTATTTGACCATAAAAAATTTGTAAATGTCCACAAAGTCATCAATATTCTCATACTCTGAATCTTCAAAATATATCATTCAACTCTTTTTATTTTATTTATTATTCAAGTTGATCACCTTGATATTGTTATTTATAATATCAAGTTCATCTTCTGTTAAGGTTTTCATTACTTTTATTATAAATTTCTTCTCCATCAGACACAATATTTACTTTATTGCTATCTTCTTCACTTATATTAAATTTTTTGTGAGAATTACAAAAATTTTCATATAATAATCTTTCTGACTAGTACACTGACTAAACCAATAACTCAAGCTTCTTCATAACCGACTATCATTTGTCCACCGTATATATGTGTCTTAGGTTCTATCACTTGTTTCATATATTTTCGTTTTTTTGTTCTATCGCTTGTTTTCTCCAAACACATACATGCGTCGATCGTCCGCAAAGGGTTAATGTTATATGCTGCAATGTTATATACATTGTTATCTAACATGTAGTTAATTTATAAAAACGACAATTAAGTTTAATTTTTGAATGAAAATACAATTTCATAAATAGTTTTTTATTAAATATAGGTATGGACAAGAACGAGAGTATAATGTACTTGTCATGGACCTTCTTGGTCCATCTCTTGAAGATCTTTTCACTTTTTGTACCAGAAGATTCACAATAAAAACAGTCTTAATGTTGGCAGACCAAATGATTGGTAGGATTGAATATGTTCATTGCAAACATTTTATTCATAGAGACATCAAACCAGACAATTTTTTAATGGGTATTGGCCGTCATTGTAACAAAGTATGATTTTAATATTACTTTTCACAAAATTTGTACATTAATGTTCATTAAAATCTAATATTAATTATTTTGAAATTTTTAGCTCTTTCTTATTGATTTTGGATTAGCTAAAAAGTATAGAGATAGTCGTACAAGACTGCATATAATGTATCGAGAAGACAAAAATTTAACAGGTACAGCAAGGTATGCGTCAATTAATGCACATCTTGGAATAGAACAGAGCCGTCGTGATGATATGGAATCACTCGGTTATGTGCTTATGTATTTCAATCGCGGATCTTTGCCTTGGCAAGGACTTAAAGCTGCTACCAAAAAGCAGAAATATGAAAAAATAAGTGAAAAGAAAATGTCCACGCCTGTGGAAGTTTTATGTAAGGTAAGCCTAATATATTTGTGAATTCGTATCTTCGAATTAAAATTAAAATAGATTCTATATTGAAATTTATATTTTTATTGATTATATATTTTTATTATATATTTATATTTTTTTAAACTTCTCATTTAGGGATTTCCTGCTGAATTCGCGATGTATTTAAATTATACACGAGGTTTACGTTTCGAAGAAAGCCCAGATTATATGTATCTTCGTCAACTGTTCCGTATACTTTTCCGTACATTGAATCATCAATATGATTATACTTTTGATTGGACTATGTTGAAACAAAAAAGTTGTGTTGTTGGAGGATCTGCAGGTGGTCCAAGTCAACCTACATCAAATACTCAGGGACAGGGACAAGCCCAAGCTCAGCCACCCGCTCAGACCAACGCTCAACCAGGTGTACTATCTTATATTTCCAATTACATTATCTTCGATATTTATATGTGCATAAAATAACAGCTTGATAATATATTATTTATCTTTTAAAATTTGATATTAATATTCAGTTTCGTTAGTATTAGTTGTCATGTCATCTAATATATTATTCTTCATTTATATAATGTGTAATTTTTACTGTTTGTTTCAGAAAGGATAAAACTATAATTACTTGTCATTGCATCAATCCTATTTGCAGTCACTAAAGTGTCCAAGATCAGGTACTCAACTTTGTACGAATGCCATGCAAAGAGTCAAATCAATCAATCCTCTAAGTTTACATTAAGGAGGAGATTTACGATTACAAGCGTATCGTACACGAGTAAAGGACAATGCCACGGATACACGTTTGTGAATTCGCTGATTAGTGAAAACTTCAGTGTATTCTCAGTGCTTAGAGTTTTGGTTGATCCACCTCTTTGGGCTTAAAATCCAAGTGAGATCAGCCAGAGGTGGCTTGTTCTTATTTTGTTATTACCTATTTAATTCACCGTTGATAATAATTGAAATAAAGGTTTTGATGCCCCGAAGACCTTTGTAAAAGATTACACGTAACGGTGTAATGTGTGATTTAATCGAAACTCCGACAAACAATTTTCATAGAAAGAAAGAGAGAACGTTTTGACTATTCTTGAACATTCGGGGTAATTAATTGAGTACGTCGTATAAAATTTTATATCTATTCTACAAATAGAGAAAAGAATGTAAGGATGAGTGAATGATTATGTGAGAGTATGAAGAAAATATATAAGTGTACTGAGAGATAAATACAGTTTGTTGCTTCCTGATTTTTGTTTTATTCTCAGTACAATACAGTATAAATATGACGAATGTAACTTTGAGAGAAATGTTAATATTTTTCTTACATAAATTATCATGTCAGTAGTATCAAAGATTTTTCTTTGATATTATTTATTCTAGTAATTTTTTTTTTTTTTTTNTTAAAGCAGCAATTTAATTTTTAGATACGTTGTATCGATCAAGAAACGAACAAATTAATAGCGAGTCTGACCTAACAAACTTCACTCTTTACTCTCTTTCTTTCTGTGAGTATATTTAGTCGATCATGGTAAATGAAATGAATATTAAACAGACTTTTCTGTATTGGAGATGGATTACAGGTTTGCTTTACATTTAAATTAAAAAAAATATATAAAAATTAGTACATAAAATACTTGATGCATGGAAGGCAACTCTGTAACCAGATCCAGCCAAAGGACTTCTTCCGTATAGTTTTAATGGCAGAGACTGTGCAGTGGTATTTCCCGTGCTATTGCTTCGATATTAAGTTTATATTACGTGACTTCAATCGGTTAGTTGGTTGTTGGTATGCATAACGAAATGTCGTATATGAAGTCACGTTTCACACGGTAGAAGTTTCAAAAAATCTCGTTTCTGTCATTGAAAATTTTCTTTTACATCAACCATTCTAGTTGCGCCAATATTCACGTCTATGTTCCAAGCACTACTTCCAAAATGATGTATAATCAATAGTGTTAACTCATGTCAACTTACTATAAAAATATTCTTAAAAAAATAAAAAAAAAACAAAAAAAAAACGTCCGGTCAACCTTAGTACGAACCAAGATACAAGGGATAATACAACTGGATCTTGTGTACCATTATATATTTTGGAAAGAAACTTTATTTGAAGTTTTTAGACAGTAATTAAGAAAAGAGATATAATCGCTAAATATCTTTCAGTGAACGTATGGTTTATTATTATCATTAATATTATTATTTTTATTATTAATATTGCTATTATTGAAAATTAAAAAACTGAGAAACAAAATTAATGAGTAAAAGTGTGTACTACTATGCAGTGAGAATGAATGATCTAGTAAGTTAATGAATAATTAATAAGCACTTATTACTATCTGGTATGTATGTGTGTATATATAGGATGTCTCGCCAGGTATTCAACAGATTTTTCCCACGTGTTGAGCAAATCGTTCTGAATAAAAAAGATGTCATATACTCTATAGGTCTATTTAATTTCGTTCTCCAATTATATTAAAAACAACATAATGTTAGGTGAATAGTGAAGTAATAATTCAATTGCATTTTTTTTATCTTAAATATTTTTTAGATAGATGATCTTTAATTTATCTATGTACTAATCACTGTTTTCAATAAATATTACAATTGTTTCTATATTATAATAGTGTTCTAATAAAATAATGATATAATAGATTAATTAATTTTACAAATATTTTTATTATAATAATATTTCTTATATTTTTTATATTTCACTTACTGAAAAAAGTCGTTCTTATATGTTTTTAATATTATAATAATAATAACTTGCCATAGTAAAATTTGTATATGAACTTGACATCAGTATAATGTACATTTTATACACTGAAAATAAACAATTGAACCATTATACCTAAAGCAAAATTAAATGTTTATGAAAATTACGAAACGGAGACCTATAATGTATATCTTTCTTTATTCTTAATGACTTAATAAATACATAAGAAAAGTTGGTTGAATACCTCACAAGACATTCTGTATACAGATAATGCTTTATATATGTACATACATACGTGTGTGTATGTATAATAAAATTATGACAGTAATTAAGACATACGTTATTTCATAAATAATGAAAATCATCAACAGTTTATTGCTCCTTTTATCGCTATAAATAAAAAGTGGAACATTGTATTATAGTCTCTATTTCATTAAGTGTCAATTTTGATGGCAATACACAATTATCGTTATCCAGAATGGTAGTAACATGTTGTTCAAAATGAACGATATACTTGCTCCCACAAACTGTGTTGCGATATTCTTGACACATGGGATATGTAAAGGATATTTATGTAAATATTTTTAAGTCATATATTTGACGATTCTTAAAAGATATACAGAAGCCACAGAGGCGTGTAACTTTATCGTTTAAATTGTTAATAGTAATAATATTTGAGTTTATAAGGTAACAAAATGTGCTGCAGACTACCAGCTACAATGCACCGGTCATCGTGCTGTAGTCAATTCGAAAATAAATAAAAATCGCACGCTCCAAAATTATGTTATCGCTAGATTTAATCCGTTCCTTTCATCGGATATAAAAAAAATAAATTCTTCATTTTGTTTTTGTACATACAAAATATATTAACTGTGTATATAAATGTAACAAAACAAATTGGCTACCACAGCTTATGCGTAAGTGACAAAAAAAAAAAAAGAACAAAATTAGTACTTTACGAACACATTGCACTTACCACTGCTTTTGTGGTAGCATATTCTGCCACGTTAATATGTAATACTAAAAATTAACAAATGAAAATTAATAGCACAGCAAAGTATGAATTTTCCTAAGTTCCTGCGTTCCTACGTTAACAGTAAAAACTTGTTCTTGACCTTCGTGAGGAATTGCGATTTCGGCAGCAAGCAATTGATTTTCATGCATCGCTGCAGCCATTTCACGATTTGGGAATATTGCGAAATTAGCTTCAGCCATTCCACCTACTGTTCTTTGTATAACTTCTTCAAAAACTTCGTTCTAAAAGAAAACATAAAATTTTTAATTTTTATTTACATATAACTATAATAATGTATACTTTTCTACTAATGAATGACTTACGATTAATTGATCAGTTCGTTCTTTTAATTCTTTCATGACTATTTGCCGTTGTAACAGTTGATAAACTGGCATTGCTTTTTCTAATGTTGGGCCTTCCAAATCACGTGCCTTATTACGTCTTAAATCAGGAACAATAGGGAATGTCATGACTTGTTTAATATCCTGAAAAACAAGAGAAAAATGTTGATTAAAAATTAAATAAATACAAAAGAATATTCTTTGAATTTTTCATTTATATAATAATTATTTTGTGAGTTACTTTAGTAAGATCATTAGTTTTTTGTTTCAATTCCTGTATTTTTGCATTAACTGATCCCTGTCTTAATGGAGGAGTTATTGGATCCAAACTTTCTAACTTCTGGCGTAATACATCAGACATTAATTTCTTCTTTTGTTGATTCTCACTATTTAATGCTTCTTTAAGAGCAGTTATCTCTTGCATTAAGAATTTATTGTCCATTGATTGCATTCCAGATGCTGTTGTAACGCTTCCAGACATATTGTCTGCTCCAGATACAGACATCATCGTCTTCTTTCCAACAGATTTTAATTTTTCCTTTAACTGGCCTCTCTCAATTTCTAAACTATCAATATCTGTTTGAAGGTGATCCATTGTTTCCTCAAATTCTTTTTCCTTTCGTTTTAATTGATTCATTGCTTCTTCTAATTTTCTCTTCAATTTTTCTACATTCAATTCATGTTCATGTTGTTGAGTTGCAAGTTTCTTCTCCACTACATCTTTCCTCAAAATCATTTCACACAATTCTTCTTGTTTTTCTCTAAGAGCTAATCTCGCTTCAAGTATGTCACTATCCCTTGCTTCCAATTTCCTACTAAGTATCTTAATTTCTTCAGCTTCTTTTTTCGCTATTTGCGCTCTTACTTTAATAGGCTGTAAAGATTCACTTTCCGGAATTTGTTCTCGTTGTTGTGATAATTGTCCACTTATTGCTAACTCGTTTTCACATTCTGCCATTTTTTGTGCTAAACTGGCCGCTAACTGTTGAATGCTTGATAAACTTCCTTTAATCGTAGCTACCGGTCCGACATCTTCTGTATCATAAACTTTTTCACATGCTATAGAGGCCATTTCTTTCAATTTATCTGCACTGAGTCCTGTATCTAAGTCACCATTGACAATAATTGTTTGTACAGCGTTCTTCAATAAAATTTGTAGTGTTTTCATCATTTTTACAGCATGTTGGTAACACGTAAAAAATTGTTCGCTACAATCTTTATCCAAGCCTAAATTAGATTCTGCGCTATGAATTGCAACAGCATGATCAGTCAATACTCGTCTCCTAGCTGACTTTAAATGTTGTTGAATTACTTCGCACGTTGTTTCCGCATGTTGACAAAGGAGACCTATGTCACCACTGTCTCCTTGAATTAAAGTTTTGATTGCCGCGGCGTCAGTCGTAATAGCATCACAAGAACTATCCAACATTCTCGTACCATTAACTATCAAGCGAGCTTGGTTAATGGTTTCTCCAAATAATACAGAAAACATAGTGCAAAAGTATCCACAACATTTCTCGATAGCATCCATTGGTAGATTCTCGTCTAATTGATCTCTTTTGGCCAGTTCTATCAAGGAATCCAAAGATTTTTCTTGTGCTGCCATTTCAGGATAAACTGCTCCAGTTTTAAGTAACATTTCAGTATTACATACATTCAATGCAGATTCAAAACAACCAAGGAACGTTTGCAACGCATACATATACGAACAAAGGCGTGATCTGAAAGTATATTGTGCTACTAAATGACCCTTTAACACAGCTGTTCTATCTACTTTATCTAATGATCTATATTTTTCTCGCACTTGCGACATAAGTATTTCGGTCTTTTGTATCATTCTTGGTATGAGTAGAAGTGTTAAAATAGCATCGTGATCACCACCGCGTGCTAAGAATGCAGGAGGCATGAAAGATAGTAAATATTTCACATGATTTCGAGCCTCTTCGGCTTCCAATCGTCGTAATTCAAGATCAACGGCTTTTGTTTGAGCACGCGTTTCAGCAAAGGTTTTTTGGAAATCTAAAATTTCCGCTAATTGTTGTTCTGCACCTCCCATTCCAAGTTTAGATGTTTCTGTTGATTGTACACGTTGTTGTAATTGCAAGCATTGATCCTGTAATTGATGAGTGAGTTCGCGGAACTTTGTAATCGTAAGTTCACGATCTGCTAATGTCTCCA